TGCATTTGTCAGATCGCTAATCTGCCTAGAAAACTCTTCCCTAGATATCTCTAGCGCGGCCTCTACCAAACTCATTACTTGATTCCTATCCATTATTAATTTTATTAATTTTATTTAACAAATATTTTTAAAAAAATCAATTAGTGTTAAATATAACGTTAACACTTTGCTTGCACTATCTTACAAAGTTTTACTGAATGTAAAGTTATTTTAAATATTTTAATATCTATTTTATTATAATTTTAATAAAAAATTTTAATATTTTAATATCTATTTTATTATAATTTTTATAATTTATTCTTTTTATTATTAGGACTTATTAGAAATATAAATAAGCTTACATTAATCCAAAACCTTTTGCGTTGCTCATCTCAAGTTAATTCTTTGTTTTTCACAGTAAGTTGATCCCACGATGGCTACGCTCGGCGTGCGTGCAGTCTTCTTTTCACTTAATGTTGATTATTTTTGTTTTACTTTAATAATTTGTTATTGCACACTATGTTGCACTAAATTGTTATTTAATTATTAGATAGTTTTTGTTAATTAGTTTTAGTTTTTTTTTTTTGTTTTTAATTTTTAATGTTCTAATTTTTTTTTTATTTTATTGCGTTTCACGTCGCGCTAAAATTCTATTTATATTTTTTTTTTATTCACTTTAAAAAAAATTTTTAATTGCTTTAATATTACGTTATAGCTTATATTACGTTGGGCGCCAGTTAGTTTAAGTCGAATCACGGAGCGTTTTTAAAATAAAACACGTTACCCTTTCGATTGAGAAGTATATCTAAACTTTATTAAAATTTGCTAGTGCGCTGCACTTACAAATTAATTTTATTATTTTACAAAATTTATAATTTTTATTTATTATTTATTATAATAGCAATGTCAGCTGCCCTTACAAATTATTTGTGCTTATTCTATAATTTAATTTATTGTTATTGATTAAGTGCAATAACAATGCCAACACGCGCTTGCTTTGGGTTCTTTGCACCGAAATGAAATTCGATATTGCGTAAACCGCTGCTGCAATAAAGCGACAATTTTAATTGTGCGCATGGACTGGGTCGCTGACATCGTTGTTACATATTAATGCTGACGAATGGTCAACACTGGTTAACTTATATAAGTTTCCGCTGTTTATTTTATTTAAAAATTTCTGACTCCATTATATAATAACTTATAATTAAAACATAAACAAAATAGATATAACGATTTTTATGTAGGTCATTTGTAAAAGAGGCATTTTAAGAATTTTTGTAGCGAAATCAAACAGGAACAACATTGTTTACCACACTAATATTTCGTTGCATAGTGAAAAGCAGTAGTGTGTTGCATGATGCAGTACAACACAATAGCCTGTACGAGCTACAACACTGCACTGCATTAACGAATGAAAAAGCACGACATTGCACAATTCGCAGTTGGTGTAAGCAAGTAAACATTCAAGAAACGCAGCGAATGTTGTTGTTGGCACTATAATGTGAGCCATTATCAGTACATCTCTGATCTACACCTTGCCAAATTTGTATAAAAGCCTAAATTTTTAATAACAAAAAACAATTCAATTCCAGAATTGAGTTTATTTGGTTTAAGTGCTTATTAAACATTAAAGGCAAATAGGTTAAAATGCTAGTTGCTAACGAATATTATTTGAACATAAAGCAAATAGGTTAAAGTGCCTAGTTGCTTACGAATATTATTTGAACATACTGAAGTTGGTTCAAGTACCATATTTATTTAGGAACTGGTTCAAGGGCCGAGTTCCTAATCACAAGCAATACTGAATCGATTAAAGTATCGATTCAGATTTAATAACAAACGAGTTATTCAACAATTACTTTTGTTATTGTTTTATTATTATTATTGCTATATGATATGGCTTAAAATTTTGTACGTAAACCTTTATGTTACAGCACATTTGACAGAACCTTATATACGATATTTAAAACACAAATGCCAGATGACAAAAAAGACCTAAATGTGCTCTGCTCAATCCACAAAAAAGGTGATCCTGTAAACTGCGCCAACTATCGCGGGATCAGTCTTTTAAATATCGCATATAAGGTTCTGTCAAACGTACTATGTAAAAGATTGAAGCCAATCCTCAACCAACTAATTGGACCTTATCAGTGTGGCTTCAGAAGTGGCAAATTCACCTTAAACCAGATATTCACAGTGCTTCAAATCATTAAGAAATCCCTAGAAAAGCAAATCGACACACACCACCTATTTGTCGACTTCAAAGCTGCTTTTGACACTACGACTAGAAGAACACTCTATGTCGCTATGTCTGAATTTGGTATCTCAGCAAAACTTATGCGGCTATTTAAAATGACGTTAAGCTACACCACCAGCTCCGTTAGAATTGGGAAGAACCTCTCTGAGCTGTTTGATACCAGACAAGGTTTCAGACAGGGTAGCTCCTTGTCGTACGATAATCCGAGCAGCAAATTTAAATAAGGACAAAATAAAGTATTTTCAGATGGATTCGAATAGCAAAGAAAGGACAAAGACACAAATTTATTTAATTTATTGAAATTAGGCTGACCATACAATACTGTTTCGAGTTTTGCCAAGTACTCACCATCAGTGGTCTTAGGAAATAATCGAATTTTTTAATTAGTTTATAGTCCGTATATAATTTGTTCGGACAGGCTTAGAACGATGACTAATCGTGTTTATCCACAAGTAGTTAATGATGGGTATTTGGCAATACTCGAAACAGCTGTGTGGTCAGCCAAAAATTCAATTAATTAAATTAATATAGAAAATAAAATTTTTGGTGTTGCAGTTCACTACTGTTCAAGAAAACATCTTTAGAAATATATTTAAATAATTAATATTATGCAATATTATATATCTTCTTTCTGCATCACTTACAATTTATTAAAAATAAACTTTATTATCAATTTATTCAGACCAAGAGATATTATTTTATAATAAATGTTAAAAACAACACCACTGACAATTATGTGATTAAAAGACGTTTCACAAGAATCAAACAAAGCAGCAGAATATCGAAATAGTAAGACGAGAGTTGCCTAAATATTCGCCGTAAGAGAAATCCAAAGAGAAGAGTGAAGAAAGTTAAATATACATACCGTTTACCGCACACAAGATGAAACAGAAAATCAACAGAACAGTAAAGCAAACAAGAATTCCTAGAAACACTAGAGGCACTTTTTGCATACAACAAAATTGATACGAAATAATTCTATATAACGAATTATTAAATATAAAGGATTAATTCCCTATTAAGAAATATCCAAGCGTGGAAATACTTTCTATAGCTAAAGTATTCAAACTAAGAAATAGTCGTATTGAATTACAAAGACGCGACAGGTGGTATAACCTCGATTGTGTCGAAAGTGATTCCTTGTAATAAGCACAAGAATACGTTCTATAATGGAAATATTCAAACGAAATTTTAATTATATTGATTTATCAAGACACGATAGGTGGTCTCACATCGACTGTGTGTGAAATAACTCATTGGAACATATAAAATGATACTTCGTATAATGAAAAGTCTTCAAACTAAGGAATAATTATATCGAATTACTAAGATACGACACGTGGTTTCACGTCGACTGTGTCTGAAGTAATTCCTGATAATATATATAAGAATACTTTCTATAAAGAAAAATCTCCAAACGAAGGAAAAATTTTTTCGAATTACCAAGATACGACAGTTGGTCTCACGTCGACTATGTCTGATTATATATATGTATTTGTTAACAAATGCACCTCTATTAAAATTCTCATAGATAAACAAGAAACACAAGGGCCTGAAGGAAGATCCCCGAAGAAATCCAAACAAGCTTTTACTAAGGATTCGTATCTAACACATCTCTGTCATCCATAAATAAATTCTTTTAAATATATATATTGTTCTTCAATTTTGTTATATATATATTTTTTTTTAAATTGTAATGTTAAATTAACTATACTTAATAAAAAAAGTAAAAAAAAAAGAGTCGAGTAGCGAAATCATTAGCTGTGTTGTGATGGCAGTTTTTTGACGTCTAGTTTTCGTTGCGTTTGTTCACGTATCTTTTTCATCGCATATAAATGTGTGTGGATTTTGGCTGCAACAAGATAATGATCCGATGTTAGCTCCTCGGATAGAACGTACATCCAAGACACTGGAAGTATACTTTCCGTGTGTCACAACGTAATCAATTTAAGATCTTATGTTTTGAATCAGGTGACCATGTTGTTTATGTATGTTCAGATACTCGAATCTGGTACTATTAATCACCATGCTTCTAGCCGCGGAGAAATCAATCAGACTTCTTCCACTACCTGAAATTTTGTATGGCATTCGCGCCAAAGAAACCTTCTTTGTCCACATTTGCGTTGAAGTCTGCTACAACGATTTTGATGTCATGATGGGGACAACGTTAATATGCTTGTTCAAGCTGTTCATAGAAAGTTTCTTAGGTGTCATCTTTATCTACCGTCGGGGCATGTGGACAAATTAGTGACGTAAAAATATTTTGCCTTATTACGGTTTTTAGCTACGATTTCGTTTATTTCCGAGTGTACTATTATATATACTGGGACATCCCAATTGCATGTTTCTATTATTTTCCCTTGATAAGCAATAAATATCACTAATGTTCAAATATCATTGAATCATTAGTGTCCAGGAGTTTTCACATTAATGTACGTGAAACGGTACCTAGTAACTGTTATTAATTTAAAATAGAATGAAAAATAATAATCCACATACCTGATATCCACTAAAGCTAATAAAATTACTGAATGCCGTCCTTTATAATTATAATAATATACTTTTAATTTTTCGCAGATAAAAATAACGTTTTAAGCATACAAAACATATGATTTTCTTAAATTGGGGCAGTATGAACACTTTTCAAATTAATTTAAATTTATTTTCAACGAAATTAAGGAAATTTGGCTATCTGAACATAGCTGTGTTACGATATTAATATTTATGTTGAGCGGCCCTATGTGTTTCTTTGTATTTGATATATTGATTTATGTACACCTTATGTTTGAGACAGCGTAAATAGAGGAAAATTGTTATAATGTATTTATAGCTGCAAGTTACATTTTAAAGTGTGTGTGTATTAATAAAATCAATGAAATTTAATCAGTATTGAATTAGATGTATTCATTTTTTTCAGAGCATTTATTTAAAACCTCTACATTATATTAGCATATAGATGTGAATATATTATTTTTCTGTATCATTTTAAGATACATCACAGGTTTGTAAAAAATCAGTAATACTATTATTACTATTAGTAGCAAAAGCAATATCTATAAACCACTACAGAAATGTGTATATGCTAATTTTGTTCTCATGTAAAACAATTAAATGAATGCCATGAAATCAATATTTCAATTAAAATTAATTTTTAAGTAACGCATGAATAAAGTAATATAGTAAATGTTATTTTTAAACTTACGGTCATATAGAAAATGGCAAAGAATTATGACTACTTATTAAAAGTTTTACTGGTTGGAGACAGTGACGTGGGTAAACATGAAATTCTTTCAGGATTAGAAGATGCGTCATCTGAAAGCCCATTTTGCAGCGGCAATGGTAAATTGATACAATATGTTGTGACTGAAATCAACTTTTCATTACAGCTTACAAAACAACAATAATATTGCTTGAAGGAAAACGTGTAAAACTGCAATTATGGGATACATCAGGCCAGGGAAGATTTTGCACTATAATAAGATCTTATTCTAGGGGAGCTCAAGGCATTATATTAGTGTATGATATAACAAATAAATGGAGTTTTGATGGTATTGACAGATGGTTGAAGGAGGTAGAAGAGGTAAGAAAGAATATTTGTCGAAATGTATTAAAGTGGATTTTCTATACCCATAATAAAACAGCATGCTCCAGGTATCCCAAAGGTACTTGTAGGTAACCGTCTACATCTTGCTTTTAAAAGACAAGTTGCAGCCAAGCAGGCAGAATTATACGCATCTCGCAATAATATGTCTTGTTTTGAAATATCTTCCTTGTGCGACTTTAATGTGAGAGAATCATTTTGCGAGCTGGCCAGAATGGCGCTTCACAGAAATGGCATGGAAAGAATTTGGCGCAGTAATAAAGGTATTGGTAACATACTTTATATTGTATTCAAAATAAGTCTTTAATAAATATCTATGTTTTTATAAGTTTTATCTTTGCAAGAACTGTGCTACCGGACAATTGTAAGGCGAACTAGCGTTTACGCAATAGATTCTCTGTCACTACCGCCATCGATCAAATCAACTTTGAAATCTTATGCTTTAACGACTTCACAATGTTTTAATACTTTAAGATTTAACTCAAGATGTATAAATCATAAAACTAGTTCGAGATTCAATCGTAACAGCTGTAACATTGCGTGATTAATGATTTTCATTTCGCTTTAAGTATTCATTGGAAAAAAATAATTTGTATAAGATGTACTTTAGTATAATATTGTATATATAGACAACATATTGCGTCGTGTTTTCAGAATGCGAAAATATGTTAAACTTTTACATTCAATAAATATATGCGAATTTCCAAATAAATATTTTTATGTAATTATGCCTTTGTTAATATCTTTAAATACATACAAAATTTGAAGTACTTAATATTATGTTAATCACCTAAATTCGAATATTTCAGTACATTTTTTTGCAACATGATTTAATTCAATAGACTGATACAATTCTGATGATCTATGATAATAATAGCCCTGCATCTTTCCAGTCGATTTTGTAAAACATATGTAGTAGAAACCAGCAAAAGAAGCTCCATTTATATCTTTTATTGTATGATCCGGTACTAAGAAATGTTCTTTCCAGCGCATAAACACATAGTCGCTATTATCTAATGCACCATAATCAAAATCGTCGGAGTTAAACGTTTCCTGGTAATCGGCAAAAGCATAGAATTTTCCCTAAACTTTTTAAAATAACTAAACAATATATGGCAAATAAATCATTGTTCTACCCAATGTCCTTTATCAACGTCTTCGTCAGCTTCCCATTTCCTTGTTAAAAAGGGATGTTTATTCGAAATAATTTCGCCATCAAAAAATGTTGTCAGTGTTGGAAACTCGAAAGTTAGTCCATTAATTTTAAGATATCCACATAAAAAACTATTGTTTACGTCAACATTCTGAAATTAATACAAACCATTCTACTAAAATACAACCCATGATATCATTTGTACCTGTAAAATAACTTCAACATCATAAGAGGTTCCCTGAGACTTTTGAAAACCTTGAAACATAGACCCATTGTACAGTTTTGTTTTAATTATACCATCTTGATACGAACTCGTAGGAGGACTTGAATTACTTTCTCTGACTGGCATTATGGTCAAAAGTTGCAATTTTTGGAATGTTGCGAATATAGTCAGCTATCTGTTAATAATGTACTGTGTAACAATGTTGCTAATTGGAAGAATCAATGCAATAATTTGTTGTTAAGCGGAATATCGTAAAATTGAAACAATAATTTTGACATAAATCAAAATTTATTTAAAATAAGCATAAATAATTTTATATGCATAAAACAATATAATTTATACTAAGTTCCAACACACCTTGATTTTGCAAAAATTTTACTTTCATCTTCGTTTCAGCGAAATTTAGTGGTTTTTTCCATCGAAAATTCTGTTTTATATTGCAAAAAACTGAAATCAGCAACGTCAGCTAAAGTTGTCTTACTGCTACATCAGTGGTTTTCAGTTCATGATATTCCCGAGATTCTTGAATCAGATGAAGGACCACAGTTTACGAGTCATTCCTTTAACGAATTTAAAACAAACCGGAGATTCAAACACAGAGTTTCTTCACTCCACTATCCACAATCAAATGGTTTTGTAGAGCGAAATGTACAGACGGTGAAAAGTGTACAAAAAAAAATGTTGATCTGATGGAAGTGATCCATATTTGGCAATGTTGTTGCTGCGCAATACTCCTCGAAACGACATATTAAAATCGCCACGCCAACGTTTATTTAGCCGTCAAACAAGATCAATACTGCCAAGCGATATATCTAATCTAAAGCCGAATATTGTTCCAGGTGTTACGAAAGAACTTAGAGAGTCACGCGAAAATCAAAAACTCTAGGCAGATAGAGTAGCAGTTCTAGGTCAAGCATTTAAAATGGAAGACAAAGTGAGAATGCAAGTCCGTCACCCGGCTAAGGTGATCGAAGCACCCCAAACCCTCGTTCCGTTATAGTTAAAACGCCGCATGGTAAAAAATATCGCCGCAACAGTATTTATTTTCATACTACAAGGTCCCAAGTTCCCCAATAATTGAACTGAAGAAAAGGTTTCAGGAGAACCCTGACGTCTCACAACGCATACCGGAAGCTACAAGTCACGATCCGATGCAATGCAACGTGGATCCTCAGCCCGAGAAGTGACGTCACTCCATGCGCTGATGTAGGTTAGGTTAGGTTCGGAAGGCGCGTGCTGCCAATTGTCAGCACTTCCACTCGGAGGCATATAATTCCCATTGTGATGCCCTCGAAAAATTTTTGCCGGGAGAGGCGAGGTGCTAACCTTTATAATCCTTGTTAAACCATTTGGTTTTCCAGATGAAGTTGAGGAGATCCGATAAGTTTACTTTCGTTATCTCATCCAAGCCAGTGAAAAAGCGGTCTCCGAAACATTGAAGTCGCCTTGTCTGAAGTCCTGGGGAAGACAGAGGAAGTGGTTGATAGATTCTATCTCATCTTCATCTTCGCAACTCCTGCATAAACTGCTTGTTGGAACTCGCCACCGTTGGAGCATAGGTGCAATGGCACATTGCCCCGTTAGTACTCCAGTAAGCACACGAACTGCAGGTTTGCTAAAGCCTAAAAGGCTTTTCGTTTTATTTTTATCCAACCTCGGCCATAAGGTTCTAGCTACCTCACAGTCTTCGCGGTTAGTCCATAAGTTGTCACCGTGTTGGTGATTTCCTCTATTATCCTAAACAGCTCACACAGTGGTGTTTGTATTCTGAGGTCGGCCTCTCTTGCATGCATTGCAGAACCGCTTCTGGCCATCTCATCTGCTAGTTCATTCCCTTCGATATTGCTATGCCCAGGAATCCAGCAAAGAGAGACCTTGTGATGTTTGATGTTCATCAGTGAGGCGCGACATTTTAATACAATCTTGGATTTAACTGTTTTAGATTCAATTGCTTTCAAAGCGGCCTGACTATCTACAAAAATCGTGATATTCGATGGACGAATTGTACTTTGTTGTATAAGTTTAGCCGCTTTTTCAATAGCGTATATCTCAGCCTGAAAGACACTGCAAGTATCAGGGAGTCGGTAGGACTGCCTTATCCGCATATCTTTCGAGAAGATACCTGCTCCCGTACCGCCCTCCATCTTTGAGCCATCTGTGTAGATAGTAACTTCAGAGTTACCTGTCACACATCCAAGCTCCCAGCTATCTCTGGTTGGATAAAGAGTGGGAATTCTGGTATAGAAATCTAGTGTTGGTGTCATGTAGTCTGTAGTCGAGTCTAGATCTGCCTTGACTGAGCCCTGACCCCTCCTTCTAATCTCCTTCAAAATTGTACGGTGTCCGTAGTTAGCTGGTTTCGACATCTTAGACTCTCGAAGCCTGAGAGCACTTTTGGCATGTAGTATTACATTTAAACCCTCTTGAGGCGTACTATTGATTGCTCCGGTGGTACCTATGCAAACCAATCTCTGTGTTTTTCCGATGCGGGCTAAATTGCATTTTTTGTTCAACGCCTGGTACCAGACGAGAGACCCATAGGTAATGATAGGCCTGATGATCGTCGTGTACATTCCGTATACTACGTACGGTGACAATCCCCATCGCTTCCCAAACGCCTTTTTGCAGACATAATATGCAGCTAGTCCTTTCCTAGTTCTATCCTCAATATTCCTTCTCCAATTTAGTTTGGAATCAAGGGCGACCCCAAGATACTTGGCTTCCGAGGAAAGACTCAGTGTAATTTCATCCAATCTGGGTAAGATGAAAGTAGGTATTTTAGTTTTCCGTGTGAACAGGACAAGCTCTGTCTTAGTAGAATTCACCCCTAAGCCATTGCTTTTTGCTCACCTGGAGATTTCACCAAGTGCTGATTCCATGAGCTCACTAATCGTTGACAAAAATTTGCCTGAGATTAGGATGGGAACGTCATCGGCGTCACCTTTGTTTTCCTAGCCCTAAAGATTTGCAAGATTTCGTCGACCACCAGGAGCCAGAGAAGGGGTGATAATACTCCTCCCTGTGGGGTGCCCCTTGTAGTCCTTCTGGTCACGGAGCCCGCTCCTATATTAGCGTTGATGACTCTGCTTTCAAGCATTTTGCCAATCCATGCTATTATGAAGTTCTCGACTCCGTTTCTTCTAAGTGCCTCACGTATCGCGTTCGTGCTTTCGTTTTTGAAAGCTCCCTCGATGTCAAGGAATCCAGCCAGGGTGTAATCCTTTAGTTCGAGTGTTCTTTCAATAGTACCAATCGCTTCGTGGAGAGGTCTTTCTACCGTCATACCCTTGTTTTTACAATAAACGAGGAGAGACTAATTGGTCTGTAATCCTTTGCAATACAGTGATTTAGCTTTCCTGCTTTTGGGATAAAAACCACCCTAATCTCCTGCCAAGCTTTAGGTATATATCCATCCCTTAAGCATCTTGAAAAGATGTTCACCAGATGAGGACCCACGCTTTCAGCAGAGTGTTGCAACAGTCCTAGCAGTTTAAACAGGATTTATCTGTGTTTCACAGTCAATCGAGTTAGTGCACCTTGGAAAGTGTGTCGTCATTAAAATATTAAGAGATTCCTGACTCGAGTCTGTCCATGAGCCGTCTGGCCTTTTAATACTACCTAGGGTTGCTGATTCTCCAGATAGTATTTTTCGTAACCTTGATACTTCATTTCATTTACAGTCTCAATAGTTCCGCAGAACTGTTGCCAGGAATTTCTCTTTGCAGTTTTTTTGCTTTTATATATAATTATATATATATATATATATATATAAAAGCAATTTTGCTTTCATATATATTAAAAATGGCTTTATAAAAGTTCCAATCCTCTTCTTGCTGGCTACTTTTTACCTTGTTGAAGAGTTTTCTGGATGTAGTTCTCAGCAGCCTCAATTCCGCACTCCACCAAACCGGTTGAGGCTTAATTTTTGGCCTAGTTAGGGGGCAAGCTGATTCAAAAGATTTATTCAAGATATAGCATGTATACACTTTGTATATATATAATTATATAAATGCATATTAAGGTGCATATAAAATATCATTAAATGGTTAACGTACAGTGTTGTGAATGTGCCTATGCAGCACATTCCCATCATTGACTTTAGCCCTATGCAAGCAGCCAGACTGCTGCAATATGAAACCTCACTTATGTGAGATAATAAAATGTATACATGCTCCTCTCTTGTGTTAGTGCTTGCCGGCGTACTAACACAATTATGTAGTCGGTAGTTTTAAGATAAAGTAAGAAAATAATTTTAATAAAGAAACGTGAACTAAACTAAGCAGACGTGTTCTTATTATATGGACTTTTATTTTTTCAATGTTCTTATTATAATAGGT